TCCTTCCTTCCTTCCTTCCTTCCTTCCTTCCTTCCTTCCTTCCTTTCCATCCCATGACACTTTTTTTCATCTTCTCTTCCTATACAATCCCTTTTTCAACAACTGCATAGTTTCAGAAAAATCACCACCCTGTTCACTGGCATTTGATCCATTAATTCTAATCAAAAGCTTAGACAAAGAGCAGCAACACAATGGTCCAGAAACCACAGGTTCATACTGACAGATTTTAAAAAAAGGAAAAGATAAAAGAACACATTCATTAAGATTATATTCTAAGCCTGTTATGAAAAATAAGCAAAATTTGAACAAGCAAAATAAGAGGTGGAGTTTAGTAAATACTTTAACCTAAGTTCTGCAAGGAGGGAAATCAGCAATAGACAAAGTAAGAAGCGCACTGCTATTTACCTCTGAAATGGATAAATGATTAAATTCTGCTATATGACTTATTTGTTTGTTTGTTTGTTTGTTTAAATTCCCTCATCCAGGATTGTACTAATGTTATTTAACTTAAAAATATTACAAGCAAAAGACCAACCAGATGTCCTAACAGTTTCAGACGGAGTATCTTATTTCAACAGCAACATTAAAGTAATTATTTATCACTCAGCAAGAAACAGAAGAAATATTGTTGTATGATAAAAAAACACACTTTAAGCAAGGATCAATAGACAAAAGGCAGTTAAAAAAAAATCCTGTCCAACTCTTCTTCTTTAAAAAAAAAATTAGAAAAGAACATTGGACTTCATTCAGTATTTTTTCAAAAAATGTCTGAAAAGACAGCTCCATACAACAAATTCCTAATTTTTGGTACAGCACAGCAATGCCCTCTAAAGTACAGTATGTGCTGAGTTTACCACAAGCTGATACATCTGAATAGATAGAATTAATCTTTTGTTTCACCAAAACATCTCTTCCATATAATCCTTTTATGAGGGTGGTGAAAATTAATTAGTGCTCTTTATCATTCAATCTCAGAGTCACTAGGAAGGTGAATTCAGCCACCAGGCAATTTTGTGATTTGTTGGCTAGACCCATGACAACAATAATTTTACACAGTTTTTTTCTCTACAGTTGTCAAATCAGATGTGTTCGAAAAATAGATTGCTGTTTAACATATTCAAGAAAAGGGACAAACTCAGAAACATTTGAACGTTTTATATCAGAGGACTATAATCCTATCCAAAGGGGTTTAACACCTGCTTCAAAATCATTAATACTATGCATTGATAGGAATATATTTCCTTCTGTTCACATTATATTCTTCAAAATTATTCCCAGGTTGCAATTTAAACCACCTCTTCAGAATCAGAACACAGAGTAAGCAATGAAAGATATACTTAGCTTAAATCTCTTCATTGAGAAGTGTCATTATATAGTAAGGAGTCTTAAGGACTTGATAGAATATACCAGAGGTCAAGGAAAAAACAACAATTTCTGAGCATTGTTTTCTGATATTGCTCCTTTGAAGTAACAAAGGTCACCATAAAGCAATATACCTTAAGCCCATATACGGAAGAGCTGAGGGAACTTAAGAGGGTTAAGAGACACCTAGAGCATTGCTAGCGAATGACGAGGAGTGAAGACGATCAAACACAAGCTAGAGCTGCTATTAGAGCCTACCTCATAGTGGTAAGGGTGGTGGAACGTAATTATTTCTCCTCCCTTATTGCATCCGCAGACAGTCACCCAGCGGCACTGTTTCAGGTGACTCAACCCCTCCTCGGAGGGAGTAATATTGAGATTCACATACAGGGCTGCTGTGAGGAATATGTTGCACATCTAGCAGATAAAGTCATTCATATTCGCTCTACGCTGCACTCTGGACTAAGGGCAGAACCAGTGGACATTACAGTGGCTGAGTTCTGCATGGTTATCTGGGAGTTGAGTTCAACCCTGTTGAACCCAATGAAGTGGATTAGGCCCTTGCAGCTGCTAGTTCAGCCACTTCTGTGTTAGATCAGTGCCTCTCCTGGCTGGTTAAGGCTGCATGGGAGGGGACACATGATTGGGCCTGGGCAGTGGTTAATTCCTCTTTGAGGGAAGGGGTGGTCCCACTGGCTCTTAAGGAGGCAGTGGTGCACCCCCTTCTCAAGGGGCTATCGCTTAATCCAACAAATCTGGACAGTTTTTGTCCAGATTATTTTTATGATAAAAGTGAGTGATCGCATGGCAGCTTCAAAGGACCCTGGATGAAGTGGATTATCTGGACCCCTTTCAGTCAGGGTTCAGGCCAGGATACAGGACTGAGATGGCATTGTTCATGCTCTTGGATGACCTCTGGCAGGAGCGGGATGGGGGAGTGCATCCATCCTTGCTCTTTTTGACCTCTCGGTGGCCTTCAATTCCATCAATCATGGTATCCTTCTGGACCGGCTTCAGAAGTTGGCGGTGGGTGGCACTGTGTTGCACTGGTTCTCCTCCTTCCTCTGGGGTCGGTTCCAGTCAGTGTTGATGGGGAAGAGATCCAGCCCACAGCTGGGGTGTTCCAGGGCTCAGTTCTCTCTCCTCTCCTATTTAACATCTACATGAGGCCACTGGGTGAGGTGATCCAGTGGTGGGGTAAGGTATCATCAATTTGCTGATGATACCCAGCTTTATATCTCCTATAATACCTCCTTATATTCTGTCCCAGTCCCTAGAGGCTATAGGGACCTGGATGGGGCGCAATGGATTTCAACTCAACTCAAGCAAGACTGATCAGCTCTGGGTATTTGGGCCTTCCAGTGACAAACATTCTTCTATCTCTGGTCCTGGATGCAGTAGCACTGCTCCAGATGGACCCAGTGTGCAATCTGAGGATCTTCTTGGACTCACGGATCCTGCTCAAAGAGCAGGTGGCAGCCACGGCTAGGAGAGCCTTCACACATCTTTGGGTTGTGTGCCAGTTGTGCCCATTCCTGGACTGGGAGGCTTTGCTCACAATCACTCATGCCCTTGTGACTCTCGTCTGGATTACTGCAATGCGCTCTACATGGGGCTGCCCTTGAAGAGCATTTGGAAGCTTCAACTGGTATAGAATGCAGCTGCACAGGTAATAAATGGTGTTGGATATTCAACATGTGTAACACCACTACTGTGTGAGCTGCACTGGTTGCCCGTATGTTTTTGGGTGCAATTCAAGGTGCTGGTTGTCACCTTTAAAGCCCTTCATGGCTTGGGACTGGATTACCTAAGGGTCTGTCTTCTCCCAATTGTTTCTACCCATCCAGTTTGGTCTGGCAGTTTGGGCATGTTATGGGTCCTGTCAGTCAAGGAATGACGGTTGGCGGGGACCAGGAGACGTGCCTTCTCTGCCGTAGCCTCTGTCCTCTGGAACATTCTCCCTTCAATGATTAAGATGACCCCGACCCTGCTGGCTTTTCATAAGGCCTTGAAGACCTGGTTATGTGCCCAGGCCTGGGACCCCGAGTGTATTAAGAGCCCTGTTTCTTGGCTATATTGATAACTATGGTGATGATTTTTCTCGGCTGCCATATATATTTATTTTTGTACTGTACTATAATTGTTTTAACTGTTTTTATAATTGTTCGCTGCCCAGAATCACTTGGTTGATATGAGTGGCTATAGAAATCAAAATAAATAAAAGGCAATAAAAGAGACACCTACTCTTTAGCTACATTATTAATCATTTTTCTGGATAACTAAGATATTTCTAGCCCAATAACTAGGGCTGAAATTGGTATAAATTAGAAGGCTGTTGAGGCTCATATAGATCTTATCTGATAAAGTCATCAAGTCATTCAAATTGTGAGGAAACAAAGATTAACTGAATCTTCCAATTAATGCAATTGATACAGATGGGAAACTCATATTTGAAGAGAACAATGAAAACCTCAGTGGCATGCTTAAAAAACTTTGCCATGGAAAAAGAGGTATAGCTAATATCCTTATATAGACTGAAATTTAAGAGCTCTATGCATCATAGCAGTATTGTTGTGGTTATATATTTAGGACAGATTGCCAAACAATTCTGATTTGTAATAGGAAATATATCTATCAAGATACTATTACCAAGTAAGGTTAACAATTATGTACTCTCTTTTTCTATGATTTAGAGCTTTTTTATATTAAAAATGCTATCAGCTGACCTTTTTGGAAACTTTTGTACAATTTATCAATATAAAGAACAGAAGGAACATGCTTGCCTATTATTAAAAAAATAATAACAACATATGCCTATCCCAGCTAACTGCTAACTGACAAAATCAATCATTATTTTTAGTACTCTTTAAAAGAGAACTAATCTTCCTATTTATGTCAGTTAAAGAATGTGAGAAAACATTTTGAAAGGTTCTGCTATTCCCAGCGTAATTTTGCGCTTTATGAAAGGGCTTTTTCGCCCCACCAGTATAATCATCAAATAGTGCATATGTTTGGTGAGAGCCTGCTTGACTTGCTTGGACTTTTAAAATCATAATCAAAAGCTTATTCTAAAGTTATGTTAAGAGCCTCACCTCCTCTGGTTTTCAGTGGCATGCTAGGAATGTTGGCATTTGTGGATAGCTCATTGTTCACGCTGACACAATAAAAAGGTTCATCAAGAAAAGGAGGCTTTTTCATCTTGTCTGTACTAAGAACTATTGACATGAAGTGGTCTTCAGAGCTGTTAGCAGTATGTGCTGCCTCCTCTTGTCCTTCTTGATTTTCATTTCCCTTTTTTTCCGACATGGGAAATTCAAGAAATGTCTTGCTGAGATTACAGCAGGAGACTATACTTTCCTTTGAAAATATATCTTTATTCTCACCTCCAAGCATTTCCTGGTTTGCTGGCCGTTGAATATCATCTAACAGTTCATTCCTAGAGTCTGGCATATTGTCTTCAAAGATGTCACAACAAGGACTCATCCTCTCAAGAGAATGTTCCTGACATTTTGTCAGACCAAGACTGCATCCTCTTCTTGTGCTTTGCATACAGTCTTCCAGAAGGGCATTAAGTTGCTCTTCTGAGAGGCAAGGAAGTACATCTGGCTGCGAAAATAAGGGAAAAGTTCTCCCCATCAAAATGAAGCTATAAATAAATTCATCATAAAACAGCACAAAGTAGCACAGAAAAATAACGGTAGCATTGATCCCTGATGCCAAAGGTCATAAATTAAGATCTGGAAAAAATAAAAATGGCCAGATAATGATTCAAGACATTTTCAGTCTGACTTGTTATTAGAAATATACTTGTCACCTTTGGATTTTTTAAACAAACAAAGCATACACGAACTTGCTAGAGCAATGAAATGAAGTGCTCCTGAGAGACAACACCTCACAAGATACCCTACGATAATGTGAGATCCCTTTATTAAAAATGTAACTATTTTTTTCACTGAACTGACACTAGACTATCATTGTAATTCAAATGAATACTACCTTAAGACTAATGTATATTTTAAGAAGGATTCAAATATTAATTCCTAATAGATATTTTATACAAATTACTGAGAAAATGGCAGGCCAAAATCCCTCAAACAACTTTGCTCAAATTTAAATTGTTTTATGATAGTGGCTTTAATCTACCAGATTTTCAACTCTATCACTGAGGTTGCATTCTAACACCTATATTTCTATGGAATGAGAACTTTTGTGGTTATTATCCTCCAATTACTTTCTAACTGGATCCAGCATGTGATCTCTTTGAAAGATTGGCAAGTCTGAGCATCAAGTATAATAAAAAGGGATTTTCTTTTCCAGACTTGAAAGCTGCTCGATATAGTAGCTATTAATAGGTAAGCAGTTTGGACCCAAAATAATGTAAGAAATTGAAGCCATGGTATAATCCAAATTTGAAGATAGCAGCCAAGATGTTTTATTGGAAAGCCTGGGCCAAACAAGGGAAAAATATTTTTAAATCAGTTGATTTATAATGGTTATTTTAAAAACTTTGAGAGATGATGTTCTGCCTATGATGTACCTATAGCCTCTGCTGGGCAATCTATATAAATGAAAATGAATGCACAAGGTAGCATGGTCCAGATGCCTTGGCAGCTTTTCTTATAAGGTGCAATGCTGGAAGTGAAACCAACTGTTCAGTTTTACTTGGAATTAAAGAAACAAGATGAAAGTTAGCATTAGTTATATACCAGAAATGTAAAATGAAAAACTGGAATATCCAATCTTGGAAAATCAATGGATCCAAGTCTAGAAAAATGAAAAAATGAAAAAACATACTCCTTATGATTTAAGAATGAAGTTAATTCAGAAAATATTGCTTTGTGTTTATTCCTACAAGGTATACATAGCTGACTTTGTTGATGGTAACAACTGCTAGAATTCTTTATGGCTGTCATTGGGAATTATGAACAATCCCTTCCACAAAAGAATGGCAAATTAATGCCGGCCGTGAAAGCCTTCGACAATACATGGCAAATTAAGTTACAGCAACAAGCATCAATATCAAAACTTACCTCATGTCTGAAAAACATACCTGATCTAGAATTTAACTCAGTATGGAAAACATTACAATGTTATAAATGGGTTTGTACCACATCTGAAGTTTGAGTTTTCCTAACATGATATTCAACTTTTTAATAATCTGTTAAACTTGCAAAGTTTTCTAGATTAGTCAGAAATCATTGTAATTCTTTTATCTCCTTTTGTAATTTACAATTTGAGTAATATTGGTCACAGTTGTTAATTATCGTACAGAAACCTAATTCTAATATTGCCTAATTGTAATACCATCTTAAACCTTCAAACTGATAAGACATTTTAATATGCAGATTTCATTATTATTTTATTTCAAAATTTTATAGCAAACTTACGATGAAAAAATTTCCTTTTTTTGTTTTTCCCTCTTTTTCCCTTTTATTCTTTTGTATTTTCTGAATGTATCTGTAAAATTAATGAACTATAAATTATAGCAATAATTTAAAAAGAAAATATTTCATATTTATTGTTTCATGTTTATTGAACCCCTCAAGGAATGTTTAAAAAAGATACCAGATTTTCTATTTTGGTGGTATAAGAAATTTGAGGGCTGTTTAACTGATATGATTTGCTTTTGTCCAGCCAGAGCTCTGTTTTGGTTTCACATTTACAGCATATGTTAATATAATTTTGGATAAAAATATAATAGTTAAAAATGTAAATATGATGTTAAATTATACAGTATTCCTAAAAGATGGAATTTGTCATTTTATGAAGCATTTGGCTTTATCAAATGTGATACTCAGCAAAGAGGATAATATTACATAAATGGAAAGAAACTTATCTTCCTGATTTTAAGGAATGATTTCAGATATGTTTGTTATCTATTTTTAAATATCTTTATAGTCCAAAAACTAGAAGATGGAGCAATGTGTTTCTATATGATATAGATTTAGTGATAAGATGAAGGACCGAATAAATCCCAAATTGATATTATATGGATTTTTATATATTCACATATTTTGTTTTCCTGTTCAGTTTATTTTAACTACTATGTAGGTTGTATCATACTGAATAATCAGTAGTGCATTTTGTTGTGGTTTGTTATATCTCAGCAATAATTTAAAAAAAAACACTGACAATGGCCCACTGAGTCACATCTCATAGACTGTACAAAAACTAATATACATATAACAGTACATCTGTAAACTATAAAACTATCAGACCAAGGTACCTAACCACATAAAGGAATCAGGAGACTATTATCATTTAAGTAGAGACTACTACAACTAGTTTCAATAATTGCATATTTTTAAAAAATTGCCCATTGCTATATTTTTAAAGTTTCTTCATGTAATTCTGAAAGATTCCTTTTGTATGATCTCCAAAGATCCTTAGTTAGTAATAGGTAAATACTGGCAAACCACTTCCGAAACACTTGCCTTGAAAACTGCAAGGACTCGTCCAAGCAGTCACTGCAGAGTCGGTAACGACTGAGCGCAGATAAAAAAAAAAAAACCCAACATTTTATTATTTCTATTTAAAGCAGCTAACAATCTGACTTCTAAACAAAAAATCAAAACATAGGCATAAAATGAATAAAATTTCATAATTAAAATATGAAAGTATATAACTAAATATTTACATAATAAATAAAACATACTAACAGATTCAGAAGCAGCAACACTGAATCAATTAAATCAATAAAACATATAAACTAATTAAAAAGTCAATATGTAGTATAGTAACATTGAAAAGTTAGATGAAATTGGTGCCTACTAAATTCCTAATTAAGAAATAGAAGGTGGCAGATTTCCACATGTAAGCTCATTTAGGCACCACATATAAAAAGCCTTGTTTGGGATGATCACCTGCATTATCTATAAGGTTTTCCATTTATGCTCCAGAGAAATTTCATGTTCCTCTTATCTGAGCAAAAATCAGCACATTGAGTGCTTTAGGAATATAACCAATTCTTCAAATAAACCAAAACTGGATTCAGTTCAGCCAATCATTTTAATTCCTTGGGTTCAATGGGAGATATTTATATGCATATTTAACAACAACAGGCAAATTAATGGAGCTTAAAGGCTTCAGTTGGTAGGGTCTTGAAGCTATATAGTAATGGTTGGATAAATTTGATGAGATTCTCTAAAATATAAAGATGAGAAGTTAAAAGAACAAAAGGCAATATATTAAGCAATGTTTGGATGTAGTGAGGCAAAAATGGTTTCAAGAATAGATTGGTACTGAGAGTTATACTGAATGGCATTATATGAAATAGATTTAGCTATATTTCCCTTACCTTTCTTATTTCATCCCTTTATTTGGCTTGTGATTTTTTGTTCCTTTTTTGAACTTTACATAATATTATTCATCTTGAAAGGAACTAATGTGGGGACTTTGTAAGTATGTTCAATTATTAGCCCTTCAGGTAAATGTAAAAGGAACAGTTTTGTTGTTCAAATTCAAAATGAGTTTAGGTTTTGCACATAATTCTCTCTTTTTTTCTGTATCCAGGAACAATTGCCTATTCAGTAGATTTAACAGTAAAATAACTCTTCCAATTTTCTCTAAGGGGGTTCCCTTCTTCTCACGTTTCTTGTTGGCATCCTTATACAAACAGTTCTTGACAAGAAGAAAATCAGCTGAGACAATCAGCACATGGCCTGACATTTGGATAAATAATTAGAAGATTAGGTTATGTGTGTGAACCCACTAATTTTCTGTTTAACACTTGGTAGTCATACTATACATCATTATATAAAACTGTTAAGCCTGTAAAGTACTAGCTTAAAGAACACATCTATGTACAGTGGAACCAAACAAAGCTCCAGCAACAGAAATCCCATCTCATTTCTTAATTTTCTGTTGACAATGGTAAAATGCCACACCTTAATTGTATGTTATTGATGTGACTAACAGCGATGGAAAGAAAGGGCAAAATCTGGCCAAAGTCAAGCTCTCTGGGAGCTAATGGGAGAATTAAGTGGGAAAATTCAAACCTCTCACTGAAATCACTGACTTGGTTTCCCTGGTCCAGTTGAACTTTTGTGATTAGCAAGTTTTTACTTCTTCTTGAAACAGGCAGAAAAGGATGATGTGCAAGGAGACCAGGGAGAATTGGGGTGGGGTGTTTGCACTAGTGTCATAGTAATGATGTAGGTGAAGTTATTCCTATTCCTCCGGATAAATAAATATCTGCCTCAATCTATAAGCATTCTTGGTCTTCTGTTAATAGACTAGACAAAAATTTAGCAGACAGTTTCTCCATTATTGCATTTTCATGTCATGAAACACTACTATTGGTGCATTATAGCATGGCATGCAGTTATCAGAGCACAAAAAAAAAATCACTGCAAACTTACTATTACTGAGCTGGTTTTGACATGGCATTAAGACATGGTTTGTTTAATACTTTTTAATAAAAATTGACAAAGTTTGCTTAAATTGCTAAGTCATAAGCCACTATTTATTCACCACAATGCTAGATTCACACAATTAGCTAAACCAAAAGTAAACAAACCACATTACAGTTTAGTGCAGTGTATGAATCCAATCACTGCCATTCCTTAATTTATTTCACCATTTTTGCTCTGGTCTTTTACTGCAAA